ATACTCGTCTACATCTGAGAGCATACCTGTCACCAGGGATTTCATGTTTTGGCTTAGTTCTATCTTCAGAAAATGAAGAGTTCTGAACTACGGTATATTTCACAGTAGTGAGAATGTGAAATGAATAGTGAAATCAAGTCCAAGTTTTGCTGTATATTTATTGACAAAACAAAGTTTTAGGCAGAGTCCCATTATCTGCTGTACAATTTCTGCCAGCTGGGGATGGGATAATAGCTGATAAATTTTTCACAGCATTTCATTAGATGAAGAAATCAGTAATTATTCATTTCTTCTCCAAGCTTGGCAACTACCATCAAGAGTGGAAGATCTGCACAAAGCAAAACTCATTTCTTGTGCTAAATGCTCAGCTTTATAGCTAGGCCAATAGGTTACACCTGAGTCAGTAGCACTGTAGCAGCTTTTTCTTACTCCCTGGTTCCTTTGGCTGCTGTAATACGAAGAAAACCAGTAGCAGCTGCAGAGCTCTCTGCAATGGTTTAGTTGGGTGTGGAGCAGGACTGAGTATGCTGAATTAGTTCACAGAACGCTGATAAGAAATGAGGGAAAGGAGACTGACTCCCAGCTAAATAGTTTATTGCTGTTGCCCATGTTTTTAATCCACAAGAATAGGAGATTGCTGGCTGGCTTTAGTTATACTTTCAGTAGATGAATTACACACTTGGTGGCAGCTCTCATTTGATGTGTCATAATTGATACTTCCCTGCTTACTCACAAATGGGTGTAATAGCAGAGAGCTACCTGAAGGTCCAGAGAAGGAAAGAAGGCTGTTGTCTTAGACAAACCTTATATGCATTCAATGCCGAGAAGGTTTTGCGGTATAACACTTCAGTGTATTTTTATTTTTCTGCTGATTTCCTGGATGTAAATTGCTTGTTGACCTTTTAGCCCAATCATGGAGTTCTGCAATTTTTCCAGCTCTATGAGCTTGGGGGAAATCTGAGCCTCTGGGGCAAGTAGGAGGACTTTTAGGAGAGCCCCATGGCACTGCCACAGATGTGGCCTCCTTGGGAGAAGCACAGTGGTGAGCAGGAGTGAGGCCTCTGTGAGTGCAAAACCCACCACAGTTACATCAGCTTGTTCCTCATTCTTTCGTGGGTCATTACAAGTATATCTCAATTTGCGCCCATGCCTGTATGCTTACTTACACATGGCAGATGAAGGTTTTTGTCAAGGCACTTTTCACTCACTGTTGAATGCTTAGGTCCCTCCCAAGACTCTTGCAAACAGTATCAAATTCTTAGAAACCCATCGTCTGACCTTTTTCTTTTGGAATATTTATTAGTATACAACACCTACGGACTTGCTCAAAGTGTTAGGAATAGCAGCCACAGTAGATAACTGTTACTAGTGTGCAGTCTTACCATTTTTAAAGCACTAGAGTAATTAACTATTTTCATCCTTGTTTGATTGCAATTATACTCAGATATAAACATCACTTAATGAACTTTGCAACAAGTAAGGGCTGTACCACTATTATGTAGGGCAGTTCCATATCTATGTGGTGATATTCCTCCTGTATTAGCATAATTAAATGGAAAGTAATATTGGCTACAGTAGTTTGTTTTATTGCACCTGTCAAACAAATGTGTGTCAAGGAATATAGGTGAGTGGAAAAAGTCTGTCTGGCAGTAGGTAGCGTGCTGTGGTGTATTGTGTTTCGCTGACATGAGAGGAATGTGGCAGTGAGGTCTACAGTTGCCTGCTGTAGGCACTAGCACTCAGGCTGAAAAGCAGCTTGGGATGTGCCTTTTGCTTCATTAAGCAAAAGGCTTTATACCCGTGGCATGAACTGCTATAGAACATGGTAGAAGCATTATAGTGTATGTTGTTAGACAGGATTGCCAATCTCAAACATCTAAAATCACAAGTCATATATTCCAGCATGAAATCTGTCTAGAAATTAGGGATATAGTTTTTTAAACTCTTTGTTTCCTTTTTACTTAAGATTCATTTATTTTTAAGTGAAAGCTGAGATCTTTACTGAAAGTTGAGATCCTCACCTGACTTCAGGGCTCTAAGAAAAACACCGGATTTGTATAAGCTTTGTCATTGTAAATAGGATCTGAAAACCAGAGATGTAAAATGCAGGCTAAGCTCCTAGCACTTGCAGTTTAGTTGAGGTTTGCTTACCTATAATAAACGTCACTAGCTGTGCTGGCTCATGTTACTGAGCAGCCATCCAAAACAAAAACAAACAAACAAACAAACAAAAAACACCAACAACAAAAAACTCTACAGTCTAGAAAGCCTGTGTTGGGTGGGGGAGCCATGGTAAGGCAGCTGGTAGACTCTGCAGCCAGAGTTACCTACAGCTGATCCGTACCTAGTATAACTTCTGCACCTTCCCGGAGTTTCATCTTGTACATGTTGGGTTCAGTAGTAGGACTCCAGTTTACAAAAGCAAGCATGTGATGCTGAGGGATGCATTAGTTTACTTGTGTTGTCTGCCTCTTCCAAAGAAATGTCAGTGCTGACCCCTTCCCTGAAAGGTAAGTTGTAAGGGGTGGTGATGCCCAAGTTTTTCTCCCCACTCTGCTGAAACAGAAGGCTGTAGCTTTAGGATTTTGAACCACTGCACTGTTAGCAGGCAAGACAGGTGGAGCATTTATGTTTCTAGGCATTTTTGCAGTGCTTGAAAATTAATGCCAGGGCACAGGCATGGGCATTTTTAGGATCCTTTGTTCATTGTTCCTACTGACATGCACTTCAGTCCCAAAGATGACAACTACAAAGCCCACACTTTGGAAAGACTAAGGTCCAAGAATTTGAATAATTGTATAGGATTGTTAATATAAAACTTGAGTTTGCTGGTTTGGAAAGTGGGAGCTCCTGTACATAGGTTAGACAGTTGTGGTAGATGAGCTGTAAATCTGCTTCTCTTCTGCCTGTCTTGAACTCTGTTGAAATCTTTCTACTATGCAACCCTAGAAGAAACAGCAATTCTGTAAATAACATTTCAGCACCATAAACACTTCTTATTTGATGCTCTGACATTTGGTGTTGGCAGCTCAGCCTGCCTCTTCAGTGTGTGGCTGTCACCATGCAGCCAGTCCTTCTTTCCTGCACAGCTAGTGCAGATGAAAATCACCTTTCTCTCAAGAGTGCTCCAAGCGGTGGTTTAACATCACTAAGGCTCAGGAACTCTGTCATGCAAATACAAATTTCCTCTCAGGTCAACATTTAAAGCATCACTTTCATTGTTTTTAAGAATCCTATTAGTTATAGAGGAATAATATATAATCTAGTGGTCTGGAACCACATCGTTCTGGCTCAGGGAGCTGTTGCCACTATAGATGATGCTTTAGGTCTTGGAGGTTTATGTGATGCACTTTTGTACTCTTGGATCTAGCAGTTCACCTCATGGTTCAATGTAATTGAAGCCCACTGAAGTCTGCAGGAGATATCATTCAGTTCATAAGTACTTCCTCCACATCCAGTGGAAACATTTAAAGGCAGAAGCAATGACTTAAAATGCTTTACTACTGTCATATTGATAGGAAAAAAAATATGCAGATATAAAGAGGTTGTGTGCATTAATTATTTATCTTGCAATCAAGCAAGTATAAAAATAATCCAGGGTGAAAATGGGGAAGGGCTGTAAAGGAAAGCACTGGCTCTTTCAGTCTGAATAATGCAGACTCCACTCCAGCTTTCTCTGCAGAGCATGAGGTCTAATCTCAGCACAAGTAAATACATGGTTTTTTTCTCCAAAACAGATTTAAAGATCATGCAGCTCTTGAGAGGAGACTAATTGTGCTCACTTAGCTTCAAGTGAATAATTAAACTGTGAGGAGTTATTATTTTCCTGGCTCCTCTGTAATGTTTCTTACTTATTAATTCTTAGATGTTCAACTTTTAGACCTTTTAGCGTCAGTCAAGCTCTGCTTCTATTGTCTGAAAAATAAAATATGTAAAGGGAAAAACTGCCACAGATTTAAAGACAGTGTATAGTTACAGTATAAATATCATCATTGTAATTAAGCCACTTGAAAATATGAACCATCAACTTTTTCTCTCAGGGACTCAGCCACCTGTGGGATTTCTGTGCCTTTGAAAATCTCCCCAGAGATCCAGTGGGCTTTGGTTCTCCTGATTGTTCTTGAAATAAAATTAGCTATTAGTCCTCTAAAATCTGTTGGATTTATTTTCTACTAAATACACATGTAGTAAGTGCTGTGGGATCAAAACAAAAACAAGTTACTTCTCCTATGCTTGTAGTTTTGATAGGATTTGCAGTTTGGCAGAAATCAATAATCTGACTCACCATATTTGAGATCATGGTGGATTAGGGTAGATCTCTTCAGCCTGGGTCAAGAACCTGCAAGGTATCTTGAAAATCAGAGGAAAGGGTGAATAGAAAAGAGACTGGAAAAGGATGAGAGAAGGCACCTGAGAAAGCAAGTAGCCTGGTCCTGAGTCCTGGGGCAGAACTAAAGACGCCTGTGTTGCTCCTTCCAGACATTGGCCTAGCACGCTCTTAAAAGTCTCTGCTAACAGAGATTCTGTTACATAATGAAGGTTTGAGCAGATTTTTTTCCTGTTAGAAGTATTTTCTTGATAGCCAACTCACCCCACCAGGTGCCTGAGACTTTGTCCTTAACTTGCTGTCTTTGTGGGGAGAGTAGGATGATGCCAGGCTGAGGAAGTGGAAGGGGATGGGGAGAGAAGTGCTCAGGCAGCGGGGGGAAGGTCATGGAGATGAAGGCCCTGGATGGAGATCTCTGGGAGGATTAGGAGGAGAAGAAAGTGTTACCCATCCAGGCTTCTTGTCATCGTGTTTCTCGATACTGATGGCTGGAACTTTCTGATATTTTTTAAATGCTTTAGGCAGATACTGAGTAAGAGCAAAGTTTAGAATCTAAGCACAACCTCAGTGGTGGAGGAAACTCTGAGTCCCATCCACAGAACTCAAAAATAGTAATACGTTGACAGAAAGACGTGACCATAATGCCCTTTTCCTGTCTTTTCTACCCTCACAGATGAACAGGAGCCAGCAGTCAGCAGTGATTCAGATATTTCATTGATTATGGCAATGGAGGTTGGACTGTCCGATGTGGAGCTTTCCACTGATCAAGACTGCGAAGAGGTGAAGTCTTGAAAAACAAACAGAGATCCAACACTAAACTACAGGGGAGGGTCACAGGGAGGGACCGAATCAGCTTTCTAGGATTTGGACCAGTCATGCACATGCCTCCAGAGCACTGTCACTCCTGCACACTCCATTCTGAGATGGTCACGAAAAGCAATAGCAACAGTTGTGTCTGCCTGGATGCGATTTCATCATCTACGTACGTTCATTTTTGTTCACATGGGAGATGAACGCTTCCAGTTTACCCACGTGCTTGAGAGCAGTCATGTAACTCTTCAGTGGCTCATAAATACGCAACTGAAATGACAGCTTGAGTGTTTTCTACACTTGTTCGGTCGGGTTTTGTTTCTTTTTTTTTTTTTTTGAAAAGGCGTATATTTGTTATGTATGTTTGTTTGTTTGTTTATCATTTGTTATGGATGGACGCTCTGTTTTTGTTGACTGACCCCAGCTTTTTCAAGAGTTCAATCCAGAAATCTGAATTCCCATTCACTGGTCACTCCAGGATTTATCATTGCCATGTTGTTTCTGCATGAAGTACACATGGCTTCGGAAGGATGGTGCGCCAGCACCCTGCATTACTGTGAAGCCTGCTTTCACTAAGTGGGAGCCTTGGAAATGGTATATTCTGAAGGCCTTTACTTCTAGGAGAGCTCTGAATTAACAGAGAGTGCCGAGATTTCTGTTCAAACTGCATTGTGTTGGCTTTTATTTAGAGCTCTGTTCTAGAAAAGTATCGTACAGTATGAAGGAGAGAAAGAAGAGCTTAAAGCTTCACTCCGTCCTTGTAGTCCTTTGCTATATTTTATGCTATTAACACTTGTCAGTACGTTAATGGCCTTCCTTCAAGTCACAATTCAGTAGCTGGAAAAGAAGATCTAGTATAACGTTACGTCTGTTCTTAATTTTACTGACCAAAATCTGATCAGTAGGCTAAAGGAGTGTCTGAGAGGTTTCCAGAGGCTGCTTGTTAACAGCTGTGCATTACGCGGATGACAAGAATATTTTTAGGAAGGGTCTGGAGATGCTGACATCAGTGTCAGAAATTGCTAATGAAGCAGGAGGCAGCTGGTTGAAATGTTTACTTCTTGGTTTGTTTTGGGTTTTTTTCTTAGTGCGTTTCACTTCTTATGTTTTGACAGAAGTTTTTGCCTACTTGTTATTGAACACAAGAGTTCAGGTGATTCATTGCCCTCCAGAGACGCTGTCAACATTGTTGCAAGCATGATGTGGAATACTTGCTATTTGTATATAGATATCTATATACACCAAAATATTTTGGGTAGAGGGGAGGGAATTTGAAAATAAACAGAACTAGCATACATCAAAGCACCTAAATAATAAAGACCAGTGATGGTTATTTAGTTCATCCTGAGCTCTGCTTTCCAGGGAAAAGCTTATCATTACTTGTTCATTGTACGATTTCATTTTTCAGTCAAAATACTCAACTGTGAAGAAGCATTTTTAGGTTACTGTTATACAAGAGTAAATGGTTTCTGTTGACAGTCAGATGATTTGAATCACATTACTGCCTCCTGAGTAAGTCCATAGGATCAACAATTCATCTTACATTGAAATCTGATGGAGAGGTCAAACATTTTGACTTGATGGTGTCATGGCAGCATCTCAAAATGCAACTATTAGGGTTCTTGCTGCATTTAATCTCCTTGTGGATTAACTCATTGGATGTGGAAGCCAACTTCCAGCCAAAATTCAGTTTGTCAGATCTTATTCAGGAACAATTGTATTTAGAACTATCCCTAAAATTTTGGCAGACTTGCTTTTTCAGTACAGGAAGAAGGAAAAATTATACTCCATGCTTTCCAGTCCAGTTAGAACTCGGTTCATTTAGCTTAATTTTTCTGATGTTCTTAGTCCCTAACTTGCAGGGTAACTGAGGCAAAGACCACAGCCTAATCATCCTTCAAAACCACGATCCGGAAATGTGCCGTTAGACTTTTATAAGCCATTTGAAAGGGCATCTCTTTTTAACTAAAGAGATACAGGCAGCTGGAAATCTGCTTGATTTAAAAAGAAAGTTAGAGATCATTCCAGAGGGCCCAGCTAGGTCAGTCTTGCCAATACTTGTGGTTCTGTAATCATATTTTCCTTATTCTTTAATGTCTTCTCTAGTCCTTGCTGCTATGGGAAAGGCTCATAGCATCAGGGGAACCGATGCTGAAATTCACCCCTATACAAGAGAGTTTGCACAAGGTACCACATCAGCTCCACTTAAGCTCTGGAAATAATGCTGAAATGGGATTTAAGTGATGCTTACACCAAATACTGGCCCCTTCACACAGGAATTAAATTCTTCTCAAATGACTGCCGGGGAAAAGGCAAAGCTGGTTATACACAGTCAGATCTCCCTGTGGAAAGCACATACATGGGTACAATTTCTTCTCTAATGCTGGAGCCCGGGTGCTACATGTCACAGGAACATCACAAACACCATGTCCGAGTTGTCAGTGATCCTTTAACATCCGCCCACTGCAGCCCAGTGCACAGACAAAAAACTCCTGGCTGAATTGTTTGGGTTTCAGAGGGGCTGTCGCAAAGTCTTTGTTTTATTTCACAAACTTAATTAGGCTAATCTCAATGGGTAGATTGACAAATTATCTGTTGCCATAGCAAAGTCACCCACAGCACAGCAGAGCAAGTGAGGTTGGTGGAAGGCAAGGCAGGAGGTGAAACTCCCAGCTGATACTGAACTGGGTCCTTAGCAAAATCATTACAGGGATCTGTGCTCAAAGGGACATCATAGGGATGGTAACAGAGACCCTGCCTGTATTTCTAGGAGTTCATGAAGGATTTCAGAGAGAGATCGCACTCTGCGTGCTCTTTTCCCAAGTATCCCATACTAGATGTGGTCCCTCGGGGGCCACAGGTGGCAGAGGTAGGGTGCTGGGCTGGGTGAGACTTTTTTACAAATTGCTGTACTGTGGTCTTTCAAAGGAGGCGTCCTAGCAAATCTAAGTCAAGAGTCTTTCTGCTTTTATTTTCCCAGTTCTACCTGCAGTTTCGCTCAGGAAAAATGTTTTTCCGTCCTTGTCCTCAGGTATTCTACAGCTCTGAGCACTTTAAAGCGATAATGAGTACAAAACCAGGACTAATTTTGGACTTGTATCAATATTACATTATTTTCAACAGGTCTTCTATGAGCATAATTAAGCCCCTGTGTCAAATGGAAATATTTTCCTAAAGCAGGACCTGGCTGAAAATATTCTTAATATATATATAACCTGTGAAATGCCTTGGGAATTTGAGGTGCTTCATAAATGTTAAGACCCCCAGATGTATGTTTGTAACATGTATGAAAGCCTTAATTCTGCAGATCTGCATGCCCATGAGCATTTTTGCTTACATGAGTCTCCCTACTGAGATTCCTCACAGGGTAAAATTAAACCTCCCAATTTGCAGCTTTGGGCAAGATAAGTCCCATCCTGAGCCTTGTGTGAGTCCTCAGCACTGCTGCCTGTGGAGCTCGCGCTCCGGCGTTAAATAAGTGGGATTCGGATGCCGGGGACACAGCACCGCCTGTTCAGAAGGGAAAGCAGCCTTGAGCATGCAGCCAGGAAAAAACAAAATCCTCTGGTGCCCTCTGACGAACAAGTGCTCATGCACATAATTCTGCAGGCTTGTGCTATGGCAGAGGGACACCTCCTGCGCAGGGCCAGTGGCCAGAGGATGGTGCAGCTCACTGAGAAAAGCGCTCTTGTCATTCAGCTGGTCTTGTGTCTCTCTGAGCTTTTCCTGTCCTGGCATCTAAGACTCTTTTCCTTTCCATAGGTGAGCAGTAGGTGGGAGAAGTATTTGCCTTAGTGAGGCTTATCTTCACTGGGGCTGAGTTGCAGAATGAAGCTCGGACAGACAGAGACTGCGCTCTGAGTAGCCTTTGATTTTCACAGGTTTCACTCAACTGCCTTCCCAAAGGTCTGTTCAGTAGGTAGGACACATAAAAAGTTACATGGGCAGAATTTTGCACTCACAAAAGACCTAATGCATGCATGCGGACGTGCAAAGCACCAGCTCTGCATCCCTTCCCCATGGCCGACCCATTCTTGTGGGGATACAGATCTGGCACTTGCTGAGGGTTTGGGGGTTTTATTTTCTGACTGCTTTAGGGCCTCAAAGCCAGGATCAGGACAATCACAGCACAGCAGTTCTTTCTTTAAGCATTCTGTAGAATTAAATTGCCATGTATGCATCCAAAAATACATTGATATGGCTATGGAAACTGTATTGTAGTGAAAACAGAAGCAGCTGCCACTTTTAGACTTTATATATGAGGAAAATTGTAGCTCTAAAGAAAAAAAAAATATTGAAACCACATATGGTAAGAGGTCCCTTAGATCTTATTACTTTAATGACCCCTGGATCAGATCCAGATGAAGTTATTGCAAGAAGGGCAGTACTTTGTCTCCTGTTGAATGACTCGTTTGAGATACATTCTTATTTTATTAACAAAATGAACCCAGCACCAGGGACAGATCCAGCTCTCAATTTAGTCCTTTTCAAAGAATATGCATATTGTGATCCAAAGTTTTTGTTGTCAAACCTGTTAACCCACCTTCTTTTTCCCTTTGCTAAATAAAAATAAAAGCTTGCCTAATTTGAAAAAATGTCTAGCTCAGAAGACCTTTGCATATGGACAGGTTGCCCTGGCAGGTATCTCCGGATCACTTAACACTTCTACATGCTTTTAGTCATCAGTACAACAGAGTTACAGATTTTCCATAAAGTGTGTTTTATTCACTGTTCTTGCTAAACCTGAAGTGCAGTCATTGTATAAATCTTCCAGAGTTTTGCCTTACAAACTTTTTTCTTCAAATATATGCCACAGCCCTTGGAGCAGATTCTGTGATTAAAAGGCAAAGATCAGGGCACAAGTCTTTATATATAAATCTCTGGACTGCAAGTCCTTGTTGTGACAGTTGGTCTGTACTGAAATGACAATAGAGGTTATGTGTAACAGCGGGAAATGCTTTTCAGCCCAGGCAGCTGGGAATCGCCCAGGCTTTGTTTGCAAGAGGCTTGTCTGTAGAAAAGCTCATGACTAAGCATATGGTTTGAAATAAGCCAGGAATAGGAATTTATAGGCTGTGCAAACCAAGAAAACCAATAGTCATTTATCGATTTCTCTTTGTTAGCAATAATGGACTTTTTTTAGATATTTGTTATTCTTGTAGATCCCTGTTGTAAGGCCAAAGTTACAAGTCTGCTAGGAATAGGGGCCAGGACAAGCTGACTCTAAAACAGGAGAGAAGGCTTGGTTTGCTGTTGGGATGCATCCGTTTGGCAGGACTGAAATGGTAGAGAAATCCAGCCTGTTCCTTCCCAGCCCTTCTCACAAATATTTGCTCTAGTGTGAGCTTTTCTTGGAGGGGAAGGAGATCATGGGATCAAACTAACGCTGTGCTGCTTCCTCTCTTGCATTTTGTGCTGCCTGCAACTCTTGTAGCGGGTTGGACTGCTCTGGTTCGGCGTGGGGGAAAGGAGCCAGCCTAAGTTCAGCTTAAGGGCTCAATGAAAGATAAGCCCTGGGGTTTCGGCAGGGCAGGGCAGCCAAGCCTCTCCATAACCGGTGCTGACCGGGATTGCTGCTTCATTGAAGAACACTGAGAATTGACTCATTTGTTTTATAGATGCGAAATGTGTGAGCGTATGTGGGGCAACCAGCGTGACAGAAATGAATCGGCTTGGTTAATGCAAACGGTGAAAAACAATGTCATGAAATATTTAAGGGGCAAGGAAAAATGAGGGTGGAGGTGTTGTTTTCGCAGACATTTTAAATAGGGACAATTGATCCAACACAGGCACTTCTTTTACTTTTACCAAGCTGCTACCTGAACTAATTGATAGGTTTGCAGTTGAAAGAGGAACGCCAGATGGACTTTTTAGTCTGGATTTGTTTGGGTAGCAGATGGCAGCTGCGGGCTGGGACGGCGAGCGAGGGAGAAGGCTGCCCTCCACCACGCAGCTTCCCCCACCGGGCTGGAAACCCGCTCAGCTCTCTTTCTCTTCTTTAGCACTTCAAGAGAAAAACCTCCTGAGCAGGAGCTGTATTTCAAAGGAGAGCTAGAGAAGGAAGATGAATGAAAGGTGTTATGGGTTTTGAATGAAAAGCCAACGGATGAATTTTCCATCTGAAATTAATCTTGTCTCTCTCAACTATTTTAATTATGAATCGGTGGAAGTTATTTCTTTCTGGAGTGAGTGCAAAAAAAGGAGAGAAAGAAAAAAAGAGAAAAGAAATTGTGTCTTCCCTTTCTTGTTTATTTCTTGATCCTTCAGTCCTGTGTAGCATTAAAAACAATAGCAAGATCAAGATGCTTGTTTGCTCTGAATGTATACAGTTATTTCAGATGTCAAATATCTAAATGTTTTGTATGTGTACGTAATACCATACTTCTTGTTTCATGTTAGGAACCTGAAATGACTGTACCATTTTATAACTAGAAATGTAAAGAGGGGACAGCGGGTGGGAGGGTCTGTTATTTTTATAGCAAGATGTTCCTTGTATTTAGTGAACATTTAAAATGGTTTTGTACTTGTCAAAATATACATTCCATCCATTTCCAGAAGAGAATTATTTTTATTTAGAGTAGTTTATAAGCAAACCAAAAAAATGTGGCGTCCCATTTGTACACAGTTCATGAACAGAGCAGAAGTATCCTGTTTTTCAGTGATGGCTCCAAAGCTTTTTCCAGCCGTGTCTCTTCTCACACGCTGCAGAGCCATACCAGCAAATGCTGATGTTAACAAGGGAAGAAAAATCCTGAGCAAAATAGATACCATATGGATCAGTGGACAGCTTACTGAAAGGACTTCCAGTTGGGAGACAATGGTCTGTCCCAGTGAAATTCTCCAAGGTAATCAGTCCTGCTCTGGACAGCAGGAGTGGATTTACTGGGAGGCCTTCGGGGCTGCCGGCCCTCGCCAGCTGTGGGGTGACAGGGTTGTCACCCTTGCACACTGCAGCTGGCTCCCTTCGTATAGGAGCTCGCTTCTGACTGAAGGTGTTTTGCTGGTAAGGCAGTCAGTTTCTGCAGGCTGACCACATTGTGTTTCTTTTGGCTGTAGAAACAACCCTTCACCTCCACATTAAAAAGAAAAAAAGAAAAAAAAAAAGTTCCTTTCTCCAGACAGCTGCATTTTGCTTTGTGAAACACCTAGCGAAAGACCATGGCAAAATCACACAGTGGCATTTGCATAGGTGGTTTTTTTTCTTATAGTTAGCTTTCCCCCCCCCCCTTTCTACTTGTGACTTGCTGCCAAAACAGTGCAGTAGCAGTTTGTGAAGCAAGCCTTTTTTTCTAGCATTACTTTCTGTACAGTATTGCAAATATACTTTAACACTTTGCTGATATTTTATAAAGCATACATCTTCCCCTCCAATGCACTTTATCTCTCTTGAAAAATGTGGGAGTTGGAGATCGACCATCTTAAAGGGATTTGCCTGATATCATGAGGCACATACTTTTTTTTTTTTTTTTTCCTTCTTGCTTTGTTATGTACTGTAAATGCTAAAGAGCATGGACAGTGACTCAGCTGGACGAAGTACCGAAATGTTGAGGCTAATATTTGGAAGCATTATTCAGTAGTACAACACGGCTATTTTTGTTATATAGAGGATTATACTGTAAATACGTGAGACTGTGTTATTATGTACTAGTAAAATATTGCAACTCTCAAAGTTAAGATGGTGAATTCCAAGGAATTTTATTGCAAGTTTTTTTAATAAAACGAATCTGATTACCGTGTCGTACTTATTTTCTAACAGGCTGTGTAAAACTGGCATTTCCTGACTTGTGAAACTCACGGATTGTTTCTCCCTGGATATGGCCGCTGCAGACTTCAGCATTCACAGGAGGCCGAGGCGATGGCGGGAAGGGACCCAGCAGCCACCGTGCCACTGCACCAGCTCTGGTCCCCGCTATCCTTCAGATTCTTTTGACCCGAAAGCAGCGGCTGGGTGGGAGGGAGGTAAACCGCCTCTGCTTCCCCAAGGCAGAGCTGTGGCCTCACCCCCGGGGTGCTGGGCCTGTTGTGTTAAAACAGCTTTAAAAGGTGAACAGCTGGGCCGTGCCTCCCTGGCTGCTCTTCCCTCACCCGACCGGCCGCCATTTCACGTCCCTGGGCGCCAGGGGCACTCAAGGGGTTGTCCTGCCATCCAGCCCAGGCGTGCTGCTTACAAGAGGTTCGAAGCGCAGTAAAAAATCCTGCCTGAAAGAAATTGAAGAGACTTTAAAGCTTTCTGGTAGATGCAGAAGGCAGCAGACCTGAAGGAAGGCCAAACCCTGGTTGAAGCTGCAGCCTGGCCGTGGGGGGTCCAGCCTGGCCCCCATTTTGTGCTCGCTGGCCAGTGCCGCCAGCACAGATGCCTCTCCTGGCCGCAGCGGTGTGTTCAGGGCATCGGCGTGTAGAAGCACTTGGGGCCCTAACTCGGATCTCACCCAGGAGTGAGGAAGGCGGCAGCCATGGGCTCCATCGCACCCAGCCCACCCAGGCCCCTGCACCTCCTTGCTTCCACACACCCACCCTCCTGCTGGGCTTTGCTCTTGCTGTCCACCATGGCGGGGCAGCCAGCTGGAAAAAAATGAGTGTGATTCAACATGGCTTTATCAGCGATGCCAGGAATTAATTTTTCCCCTCCCAGAGGGCAGAAGCCCTCCACACCAAAACAAACGCCGGGCTGCCTTCAGAGGAAGACTAGAGATATTACAAGCCGAGGAATCCGGTCTCGCTCTTCCCGACACATCTCCCTCCCTGCCCGCTGCTTTGTTCTCTGCTTTCATTTAATAACCAGCCAGGGGAGCGAGCGAGTGGGGCCAGTTTGTGCGCAGTTGCTGTGGGGTGTGTACACACAACACAGCCGGAGCTGGTGGGAGGCAGCCGCGCTCCAGTCGCACAGCAGAAATAACGCAGCGCCAAGCTGCTGGGAATGGCATCAGGGCTATAAATAACAAGGGGAGTAAGGCAATTAATCCCAGGATGCAAGCACGTACTCAGGGCTTGCACCACTCTCTACTGTATATAGGATTCGTTGCTGGTCAAAATACAGAAATTAAGCTGTGCTGTTCTATGCTCTGTTGCATCTTTTTCTCCAGAAGGAATAAGGCAAATTGGACTCACTCCTGTGATTCAAGGAAGCGATCCTCAGACCTGTCGCAGTCAATGAGATTCAAAGGGAGTTTATCCAGATTTGTACTGTGCTACACCTTGTGCAACTCAGGGTCCCTTTGGGGTATCCCATGACACCCAAACTGTGCTAGGAAGGAAAGCGAGCTTTGTGCTGCACGCTTGAGAGTGCCCAAAGGGGACACACAGTCATCTGTGCTGGGTGTTGGGGAGCCACTCTGGAAAAAACACTCTGAGAAGGCAGTTCTGTAACACAGGGAGATCATGTCTGGGACTATCCCAGGGCGTCTTCATGGCCCAAAAGAAATCTAATGGGCCGGTGCATTTATCATAGATAAGATGTAGGAAATCAGTGGTCAGTGAGGGTGTAATTTTCCAACATGATCATCCCTCAGCCTTTGATCCCTGTGCAAACAAGCTGCCGGCAAGCTCTGGCAGTGGCGGAAGCAGGCAAAAGGTGTCACCACCCTCATGTGCCTGGGCCACCCTCTGCTCCTCTGGATGTCATCTGCGTCTCAGCAGCTTGGCTTTATGGTCCATCCTCTCACCGGAGAGTATAGACAGGCTGGCTCGGGGATGCCGGCAGCGACCTGTGGTGGCTGAAGCCCGGGCAGATGTCCCTCCTCCTGCTCCGGTTTGGAAGCATGGTAGCTCCTGGCAGAGGGACAGAGCAGCCATCTGGGAGCCGTAATGCCTCCAACGCGTTGGCAGAGCCTCAGAGCTCGCCTGTCAGAGCCCATGGCTCAGGTGAAGTCGTTCCTCTGTCCCCTGCTCGGGGGGTACGCTCCAAGCTCCCACACATTTCGGGTGGTACCTGCACACACCGACCCGGCGGTGCGAGCGCCGCACCCCCAGCCAGGTGCCCCCGGGGATTCCCCAAAGGCCGGGGAGGGGCTGCTTGGGAGGTGCCAACCCACTTACTGCCTGTTATGATGGTTGTGATATTTGGGCGTTCCTGCCCAGCCTCAGCTTCTGGAGGCAGAGGCGTGCGGGTCAGCGGGAGGAAGGGGAGGGCGAGGTAGGGTGGCAGCCGGGATGGCTGAGAAGAAAGCGTTTCAAAAAAGGGTTCCTGAGGCGGGCATGCATCCCGCGCATTCCCCTCGCCCGCTCTCCAGCAGGAGGCTCCCACGCCTCGCAAATGCACTGCCCAGCCCCCCCCCCCCCCCCCCCCCCGACCCCGGGCCGGCACCCGTGGGCGTGCTCAGACACCCGTGGGCGTGCGGCGACCCGGGGCTGGCGGGGGCCGCCGGCTCACGGCACCCATCCGACGCGTTTGCCTTTATTTATTGAGTGAAAGGTGCGAGTATTTATGGTGTTGAATCAGTGAAAGGCACCACTGGGAGTTTTTTCCCTGCTCTTCCTCGAGTGTTCCCCCCGAGCACAGCCCGGGGTCCCCGGTGTCTTCTCCAGACGATGAAGCAGACAGAGCCCTCTCAGGCTTCCCCCCTCCCTTGGCCATCGTATCGGTGGGGAAAAGCTCTCTGTCCTCCTCATCAGGCATAAGAAACAAGGGGGTCCCCCCCCAAAATAAGCCCCTCAATAATAAGGTTTGGGGGGGTGGGGGTGAGTCGGCACGTGCTGGAACAGCCCAGCACCTTGCAGGACAATGACCGAGGGCCGGCGATCACTTAATTAAAAGGCTGCAATTAGCACTTGACAGCCCCTTGAAGGGCTCCCCCAGTCCCCCTGGGGGGTTATTTGCAGGAAAGGTCTAAGTGCAACTGGGATTGTGCTTGCTGACACATCCGTGTGGCCCCGTAGGCAGCAGATTTGGTGGAGGGGAGCAGGACTGCTAGCCCCGTTCATAGACTGGAAAAAGGAAGCAAAACCCGGCAAGGCCACCTGCGGGTGGTGGCTTTAGCAGCAGGACAGGGATAAGAGCAGGGCTGGAGGCCAGCACTGCGGCCCCAGCCACAGCCCAATCGCCTGAGTGAGGAGGATGGCACATTTTAGCTACACTTTAGCTAGAGGAGTGTTTTTAAAGCAAATAGGATGAACTTCTGTTTGTGCATGCACTTACACCATTTGAAAGCGGGTTATTTTGGCTATATTAAGCGGCTATGGATCAGTCTGTGGAGGAACAGACCCAGGCATGAATTGCCAGACTCATCCTGCATGGGGGATTGCACTCAAATGGGAATAGGACTTAGTGGGGGAAAAAATCCTAAATTGGATCATAATGCCCATTGTAGGGTGCTGGCTCTCACATGCTGTTTCAGCCCAGCCATGAGAAATCCTGGTTTGTACACAGACACCTTTAACTAGACACAATTCAACAGAAACCCAGTTCTGCTTCGGTACCTCTCATCACCTCAGCCAACATCGTCACCTATCCAGGCTGTTTCAACCCCTCGAGGTACAACAGAGGCTGGCAGTACAGCTTCCAGGTGTGAATTACTTCATCCCCCCAACACCGGTGTGCATTCACCTGCAGAGCGATGCTTGGCAGCGGTTCTCTTCTCCCATCAGCACTGCCCCAGAGCAGGGGAGGTTGTTCACACCCAGGCAGCTCCGGAGGAGCTTTGGCAAGGTAGGAGATGAGTTTTCTTTTCAGTCTGGCTTGGGTGTGAGAGTCAGAAAATAGCAAAATATGAATGAGGAGAATCGCGCAAAGGTGTGTTACTTACAGTGCTGTTTTGGTGAGGGTGGTGCTTTTAAAATAATTGTCCTAAAGGGCAATAGAGAAGGGGATTTTCTTACAGAAAATTGACTTTCAGCTGTGAAGTTGCTCTGAAAAGGATAGTTAGTGCTGAGGAAAAAAACTTCTCTATTTGCTTGTGCTCAATGAAATCCTAAATACAAACAGCTGCCAAAATTCCAGGGATCCATGTGATGACTTGTTATCAGTGACCAGCCTGAGTCAATCCTGCTGAGCCAGGGGTGCAGGAGGGGGGATGGCCCACAGGCTGGGAAGGCAGTTGCAGCATCTTTGGATATAAAGAAAACCCACCAAGCCTATGAAACAGGCTGCTTGACTGTTTTCCTTTTGCTTGTGCTTTAGGGGCTTTCTTTGCCTTCATTTTGGTGGAAGAAAATGGCTCAGAGCAACGCTGAGGACCTGTTCTTTGAGGTGTGAAGAAAGGACTTGCCTGTGTTTTGACTGGTAGGAAAATGTATTTTTTCCCCTGAAGCTGGTTGTCCCTTGCTGGAGTGGTCTGCCTGGCTCTTGGTCTAAAATGTTCCTTATGTGCAGCCAGTGCATTGCTACCTGGGACCCTTCACTTTGCTGGGGTTTGTCATGCACCCCTTACTAAAAGGCAATTCTGCCCCCCCCCCCCCCCCCCCCGATAACTTGGGGTGGGGGACTCCCTGGTGGCTGGCTCCTCGTCAGGGTGAGGAGGGAGCGTTGTTCTGAGCTGGGGTCCTGCTCAGCAGCATGACTCCCCAGGGCCAGCCGTGGAGCTGAGCTGTGCCACCCCACATCCCCCTGCAAAGGAGGGCTCGGGGCAGGGGGGAGGCGAACGGGCAGGAAGGAGGCAGGAGGGTTTCATTCCCACTTTTGCTAAGCCTGATGATTTTCCCCCAAGCCCTCCCCCTCACCGAGAGGGAGGCATCCACTACTGGAAGTGGTCAGGTTGATGCAGTCCACAGTAGAAATGTCCACTCCGGAGCGCTGATGTCCTTGGG